GGGAGAGGATGGGAAGTGGGAAGAGGGTAGGTTTTGGGAGGAGGAGAATGCCAAATTTATTGATGAGACGAGTAAGTGGAGGGGAGGGGAGAGAGGAGCGGAGGTGGGAGGATGGGGGAGGGGAAGGGAGAGGAGATAATAGGAGAGGAGAGGAGATAGGAGGAGAAGAGCAGAATCGAGGAGAGAAGGGGAGAGAAGAGGAGAAAAGGAGAGGAGAAGAAAGGAGAAGCAGAGAGGACATGAGATGAGATGCCTCATCGACGTGTCTATATGCTAGTAGACTGTATAATTTAGTTTTTCCATGTGACCCGTTGCCCTATACATGATAAATTTGTTTCTGTACATGTTCTATACTCAGTGAAGTGGATGGTTGGTGGTAGGGGCGGGCACGAGACGAGCCGAGTACTCGTTTTTCGCGAGAAACGCCCTTCCCGTCGTTTCCCGAGCACTAAACTACTGCTCGGTACCGAGAAGTGATACTGCTCGTTGGCTTGACATAACGAGTAACAGTAACGAGAGTGAGAGAGTGAGGGGCGAGAAATGACAACGCAGACAGTGCCACCCATCACCGTGCCGTCCTGTGTGTGAAACTGAAAGGGAGGGGAGAGGTTGGCGAGACGAGGCGAGTGGGGAGTTGATCAGGGCCTAGGCCTAGGTCTCCCTACCTTCCTTCACCGCCTGCGCCTGCGCAACAGGGCAAGCCTAGTTTCTAAGTTTAGATCCCCGCCACGATCGGCCTTCTCGCTGAACGAGTTGCTCGTTCTGTTAGGCGAGAAGAGAAATCTCGGCCACGGCCGGCCTTCTCGCTGAACGAGTGGCTCGAACTGCGGGGCGAGAAGAGAAATTGGTCACGAGACGAGAAGTATTGCTCGAGAAACGAGACGGGAAGTATTTCCGTTCCCGGGACCGGTCTCGGCGAGAAGTAGGTCAGCTTCCCGGTCTTCTCGTTCGGGAAGGAAAAAGCGCTTCCCGCCCGTCTCTAGTTGGTGGATGCTCTAGTGAGGTCTGCTCCTTCTTTCTTATCCAACAACTATCGTCCTTATCTCCCCTCCTTCTCGTTTCTTTATCTGTTACTCTCTTGTTACATCTCTAAACTTCGGCACTAAAAAGACCCCAGTGTCTTGCAAGTGCCGTAAGACTCTTACTAAAACTAAAACTCTCTTGTAACATTCTGATCATTGGCACCCGTGTGAACTTATTGTGTTGCAATATTAT